TGCCAACAAATTGTAGAAGAGCTTTCTAGCTTTAAGACCGGGACCAAGAAAGAAGGAAAACCAATCGTAAAAAACTCAAGGTCACCACACAAATAGAAATGGCCTCCAACGGTTCAAGCTCTTCCTCACCTCCTAACTTCAATGGTGAAAACTACCAGCTGTTCACTGTTAGAATGAATGTTGCGCTGAAAGCAATGGACCTTTGAGAAACTGTGGAGTTCAGTGAAGACCCTCTCCTTTAAGAGCAAATCCAACACTTGCTCAAAGCATCATGCAAAAGAGACAGCAAAGAAATCCAAAGCTCTTTCTTTCATTCACTCAGCGATTTTTCAAACCTTTTCACAAGGATTATGTCTTCTAAAACTAGAAAAGAAGCCTGGTAAAGAATTAAGGAGTTCCTTGGAGTCTTTGGCGGGCACCAGAGGCATCGAGGTATGGAATATTGACCTGAACATGAATTGAAATGATTGGGCAATGCAGAATATATGAACTTTATAAATTCTCTCTCACAGATGGAAATGGATTACACAACTTGAGAAAAACCAAGGGGGGGAATTTAACTCATTGGGCGTCTTTTTGTTGAAGTCTTTCCGTGATCATTTGAGCAACAATGGGGTGAAGGGGGAAGGATTTCCTGCTAGACAGCTTTGGGAGATAAAGGCAATCCCAAGAGTGGCTTTCTTCACTTGGGAGGCAGCTAAGGAATGCATTCTTATTTTGGATAAGTTGACAAGGAGAAGCAAAATTCTTGTAAATGGATGTTACTCATGTAAAAGAGATGCAGAATCTTTGATCACATCCCATTGTGGTATCCTTTCACATTTAGGATTTGGAGTTTGGCTTATGGATTATTGGGGTTAAATTGGTAATTGCAGGATCAATTAAGAATGAACTGTATCCCTGGAGAGACATCCTAGGGGATAAAAGGTTAAAACTTATTTCTTTGGTTACCTTTTGTTCATATAGAAAGAAAGTAATAAAAGGGTTTTTGAGAGTATATAAACTAATTTTGATAGATGTAAAGACACTTGATTCCAGACTCTAAGTTTGTGATTAGGAACAATCCGCATTATGTACTCAGGATCTGGTGACCTATCAATATTTTGATTAGTTTGTTAATCCTTTGTACATGGGTTGCATCCCTTTGGTGCTCTTGAATAAATTTCATATTTTATGTTTAAAAAAGAGTTCCAAGGAAGTGAACAAATAAACCAAATACATATACTCAATTTGAGAAATTCATTTGAGGTTCTTAGGATGGGCGATATGGAAAATGTAAAAGACTTCACAAATAGAGTCATGAAGATTGTGAATCAAGTAAAAATGTTGGGAGAGGAGCTGATTGTTAAGAGGGTGCTTGAAATCCAGGGAGGTTTTGAAGCAAAGATATTTTCTTTTGCAGAATCAAATGATTTTCAACAATTCCATTAGCCGAACTTGTGAATGCTTTGCAGGTCAGTTAGGAGAGAAGATCCTTGAGAATGAATGATGCAAAAGAAGATGCTTTTGTGATGAAAACCAAAGTCAAAGCTGAAGGGAATAATGCTTGAAGCAAAGGAGGTTTCCATAAGGAGAGGCCAGAAGCAATAAGAATAAAGGACCAAAAAAGGCAGCTATCCACCGTGTCCAAATTGCAAAAAGACCAACCATCTTGAAAAGTATTATTAGTATAGGCCTGGAATCCAGTAAATGATTTGTGAAATGTTCAGGCATGTTGAAAAAAATTGCAAAAACAAAGGAGAACAAGATGAGTAGAAGGCCAAAGTTGTGGAAAATGAAGAGCAACAAGGAGAAAGCTTCCTTGTTGCTAAATGCTACTCAACCAATTCGGACTGCAGCACTTGGTTCGTTGACAGCAGCTGCAGCCATCCTATGACACCTGAGCAGAGGTTTTTTAAGAAGCTTGACAAGTCCAACAAGTCTAGGGTCAGAATAAGCAACAGAGAGAACTTGGAGTTTGAGGGAAAGGGAGATATTTCAATGATGACACCTTCAAGTTTGGAAGAATAGAAAGTTATGTTATTATTGAATAAGAACACTCTAGATACAGACATTCTTGGAGTAATAAAAGGAATCCTACAGTTAATTACATATGGGGTCAGCAAGAGGAAAAGAAGAACTACCGTGAAGATGGATAGGTGTTTGTTGTTTGACAAAAATCACCCAAAAGCTTTTAGATAGAAGCTGTGCGCACAGCAGTCTACCTTCAAAATAGGCTACCCACAAAAGCATTAAAGGATAAAACACCACATAAACATTGGTATTGCTGAGAACCAGCAACAGAGCACAAGTGGTTGCTATATTCATGTTCTAGAAGTTAAAAGAGATAAGCTAGATGAAAAGACTCAAGCTGATATCTTGTCGAGCATAAGTGGCAATGTCAGAGTCCTCAACATTCAAATAAAGGAAGATATTATGTCAAAAAAGTCAAAGTTGATAAGAATGCTTATCGGCATCAGACAAAATTAGAATTTGAGCTTCAAGAAATCAGTGTGTACTGGGGGATGTTATTGAAAGCCCTTAAGTGCTTGCTGAGAAAGAGAGATCAGATTATAATCATAAAACAGATTCTGACCATTTAGTAAGGGTACAAGAACTCTTTTAAGACCTCTATAATTGCTGCAATTTCATCTTATCAGAACCCACCAATATTTAAATCGCAATCATCAAAATGAAAGGAAGTGATAGAGGAAGAACAATAGATGATCATGACAAACAAGACTGGGATTCTCACCGCAAGACCTGCAAACAAGAAGGTCATTAGGCTCAAATTGGTGTATAGAACCAAGTTGAATGTTGGTGGCTCTGTTAACAAACTGAATGCTAGATTGATTGGCAAGGGCTACTGTCAACAATATGGGATTAGTTTCATAACATTCTTGTACCAGTAGCAAGATATGACACAGTGAGCTCGTTCGTCAATCTAGTAGCTCAAAAGTTGAACACTTATCAACTTAATATCAAATCAGCCTTCTTGAATGGCTACTTGAAGAAGGAAGAGAAATAATTTGTTCGCTACAAAAATCTTTATATGGCAAAATAAAACACATTAAGATCAACTACCAATATGTGAAAGAAGCTGAAAAAGATGAGGAGATCAACTTACTACGCTGCAAATCCAGGGAAAAATGGCCGATATTTTCAACAATGGACTGTTAAGTCCAAGTTTGAGACATTAAGATTGATGTTTGGTGTTTCCAGCAAAATTGTCAAGGAGGAGCGTTAATGTTTGGCTTTTTTGCTGCCAATCATCTACAATTATGTTTTTGTTAAAAGCTGTTTAGATGATCAATGGTTATTTGGATGATAATTGCTTCTATTAGTGGATAAGTTTAATTAGGAAAGGTAAATATATACTTTATCTTGTTTAAGTATGTAAGGAAAGTCTCTTTCTTTTTCTGGTTTTTTCTGTCGTCATAGACAGCTTCAAGGAAGCTCATGTATGCTGTCAATTAAGTAGGAGATTAATGAAAAATTCAGATGCCAACATAAACAATTTTCTAAAACCATGAAAGAAAAGAGTATAATATGAAAGGAAGAAGAGTATTATATCCAAACATATTATCATCATGTTAAGAGTAGAGTTGGAAACTTCATCAATTTCAAACTAGAAGGTAAAGAAAGGAAAAAATTATGTTATGGGAACAGCTACTTACTTCACATCCATGAGCTTTTGACAGTTTGTTAAGAACATCTTCACATTTATCCGAGATCTCACTCGAAAATACATCATTAAACCACTGCAGGGGAGCAATTGAGTTCTAAAGATTTCACTTGATATGAAATAAATTGAATTTAATCGTCTTCCAGAAGAAAAGAAAGAGAAATCACCGCCGTATATTTCCCCAGACGCATTGCTTGCAAAGCATTCAGATTATCATATGATGATAAGTTTGGAAAACAAGGAGGGGACTACAAGAAAGACATGAACAATAATCATAACAGAGCTGTGAATTATAAAATTTAACATTGGAATATTGGCTAATGTATGATAGTCTGGTACAAAAAAATCACATAAGCATTATCTCAAATTGACACTTGGACCTATCCAGAGTCATACACAAACATCTATTTCTTGAAGTTACTTGTTTATTTGTTCTATTGCAGACCTTCTAGTTGAAGCATGCCCCTCAATAAGTGATATAGTTTTGTATTTTTATTCCTTTCATTCCAACAAACAACAAGCTTAGCTATCTTCATTATCTAATTTTTATATTTATCAAGTTGAAGGTCCTTTTTATGTAGTTGCTCCTTGACAATAGTTTACTTAACACAAAAGTTGAATCAATCATCATGATCTTTGATAACCAAACCTTATACAGCCGGTGGTTTGCAGAATGAAAGAAATGAATAGGATGGCATAAACAAATAGCATAGGATATTATAATGATGCATTTGACATATTTGAGTTGGTATGCTTTCTTTTTCATGTTGGGTAGTCAAGGAGAACTAATATATAGTGTATAAATTAACAAACTTTATATTACCTCGTATTAATTTTGATTTTTTTTTTGTAAAACTGAATAGAATAATATGATTTAAGTTAGTTTTCCATATTTTTAAGGAATGCTAATGACAATATTTCTAACCAACTTTGATTTAGTTAAATTTTTCTACTAAATATGAAACTACTTGTATAAATAAATTGCTTCCGAAACATTAGTATGTTAAATCTAATTTATTGTTATGTAATCACGCCAGGCTTGTGAAAGAAGATATAAAAACAAAAAAGAAAATGTAATCATGAGATTTGTTTGATGTAGGAGTAAGAATACTTTAGGAATTAAAATATGTCATTTTGGGAGGTTAAAATTTTGAGTTCCCAAAATGCTGGGGAACAATTGTTTCCCACCAAATGAAAGAACTAAGTTCCCAACATGCTGGGGAACAATCGTTTCCCACCAAATGAAAGAACTAAATTCTTGTTCTTCTATTGTAAGTGTCCTCTTTGCACCAAACACAAATGATGGCTAGTTCTACGATATTAGTCATACCACAAATACTACCACTAATATTAACTCCTTAGGACCATAGAAAATATTGCTGAATGTCATCCAGCAAGACTTCTTCTGTTACATCTTGTAGTGTTGACTACATGATATCCAAAACAGTAATGCCAATTCTTTAATACTAAAATCTAGTAGCACGCGGAAAATACTCTGAACATTCTTTGTGAAAAGCAATGCACTCTGGAGCCCTTGAAATGATTATTACTTTAACAGGAAAACAAAAAGTAAAGCTACTGACCACCCTCTTTTTATTTACACAAATAATAATAAGGTTAAAAAAAGTTACCGGATTCAAACAGATTCTATTGGTCGGAGAGGAACCCAGAATTGCTGCATATCTGACAAATTAACAATGCAATCACGAAGATATAATGTCTCTAGCAAGAAATTAGCATGTTCATTGATCCCAGTCAAGAAGAAAACAAAAGAAGACTATGCTATTTCTTCTGTTTGAGCATTATGATTGCAGAATAATGATAAATGACTTGTGGCAACAATTATATAGACGTGGCAAAAAGAGATAGTTTGTCCTC